CCCGCCGGGGTGTCCTGCCTATGCCGGCCACCATGCAGGTGAGAGAAAGGCTGCGGGATGGACGTTGGGAAAAGCGGTGCCGCGGGGAGGAGAAAGTTTGGCTGCAGGCATAGCGGGCCAAGTTTGAACACTTGGGGCGCCCGCGAAAGGTTGGCCACCAGCGCACCTGGAACACACTTCGGGGGTTCGTAACCTGCGTCCCTGGTGCGCCCCGGGGAAGGGGTTCATCACCAGCACACGCGGGGCTGGAGCCCGAGCTGACTGCGACCGCTCGCTGAGGCTGGAGCGGTGTGGAGGGCAGCCTTTCTCGGGAGTGATGAGTGCACTCTGACCAGCTGTGCTCTCTCCCCGCCCCCTCACCGCCCCCCCCCACCCCAACCCCGGCCCCTCTCCCGGCCAGATTGTGTCGCTGTCATTCCTGGACTCTCAAACTTCCTGGTCCCTACGAGGTAGAGCCGGACCGCGCTGGGCTGGGATTCGTCCTGCAGATGAGGAAATTCCGGTGGCCATTCAGGCCTTAGTTTCCGTCTCCATCCGACCTCAGTTCATCCCTTGTAGTTCAGAGACTGTATTTCCTAAGCGTATTGGCCAGCTCTCTGCCAAGCAGGGGTGTAAGGCTAAAAAGAAATAATAATAATAATCCAAGTGTTAATTGCCGTTTGTTATTCTCACTGCTATCCCAGTGATTTCAGAGATTGAACCATGGGTTCAATCTCAAATGGGGACATTAGACAGTAGCTTAATTTCTGTGAGTCTCATTTCCTCATATTTTAAAAAAGTTTCTTTTGGGACCAGCAGATGGCATAATGATTACATCATTGGACTCCCACATGGCCCACCGCAGTTCAAGTCAAGGGCTCTGAGGCTTGAAATTCACTCCGGGTGCATGTGCATGTGTGCCCAAAATCTTTAGAGGAGAAAGGATTGCAGCATGACCATCCCCCTATGTTGATTTCTTACTTTCAGTCTCTCTGCCTCTGGCTTTCTCTCTGGCCAGTGCACACGCCCTATAGCAAAAAAATCTCTCTTAAAAAATGTTTCTTTCATGAGAGTGAAAGACAGAGAGATGAGAGAGAGAAAAGGAGACACACACTTTCAAGAAGCGGAGACTCACCCCAATCCCCCAAGCCAGCCAGGAGTGTGGGTGCCCTACAGGCATGTACGCCTACCCAGGAACCCAACCAAGATCTTCCATATGAGTTCAGTCTCACTTGAGCAGCACATTTAAATGCACTAACTCATCTTCGGTAGCACTCTTGGCTGGGACTGTGTGAGTGACTGTGAAGCACCCAGTACAGGGCCAGGCACCGAGTGGGGAAAGAAGGAGGTTGACGGTGTTGCCTGGCAATCTGTAAGGGAAGAGAAGATACCACTGGGATGTGGGGAGTTGAAGGCAACTGCCCTTGGCAGAAATTCTCCACCATATTAATGCCTCTGTTGGAGCTTTCTGCCTTTTGGCCAGGGCTTAATAGATGCTCAGCTCCCTCCTCACCCCAGAAGTCCAAATGTTGTCTTTTGGGAGATCTTGTGCATTTTAAGTAACAAGCTGCTAGTTGCTGAGAATAAAGGGATTTATCACCCCTTCCCAAATACAATATATGAGCTAGGGAAGGGGCACATAGGCAAGGTGGGGACAAAAGGGCAAGTTGTTTGCTGTTAGTTTTCATTTTGGAAGATTAACTAATTACTTAGGCTACCAAACATTCATGCTTTAAAAACTAGGTTCTTTTTTTTATTAAATGATAAAATGATTTTGAGATGTTGAGACTATAATTGGAAAATACATGTTGGTAGGGGAGAACTTTGTTCAGAATTAATGATGTTCTTTGAAAGTTCCCTTGGAAATGCCTGGGGTGTTTATAGCTTTTCTGTCTGCTCACGTAGGTAGGCCAACTTTTAATAGCTACATCAATCCAGTGTGCACCCAGAGAAGTCATGGCAGATGGCTGCTGGAAAGATTTGGCGAGACTGGTTTTAGTGTTTTGGGATTTTTTTAGAGTTTTTTTAAATTTTTATTTATTTATTTATTTATTTATTTATTTATTTATTTATTTATTTGCTATAGGGCGCATGTGCTCACCAGACAGACAGAGAGACAGAAAGCGAGAAATCACCCCCTAGGGGGAATGGCCACGCCGCAATCCCTTCTCCTCCATTCTCCTCTTGGGATCTTGGGCACGCACGCACATGCACC